GGTGTGAAGTTTGCCAGCGAACCAAGGCGGATCGACGCCCCAAGAAGGCGCCTCTTCACCCGAACGAGGTACCAGATTGCCCGTGGACCCACATATCGGTGGACATGATCACCAAACTCCCCGGATCGAGGGGATACAACTCCATCCTCGTTCTAGTCGACCGATTCTCCAAGACTATAATCCCGATTGCATGCACCGAGGAGCTCTCGTCGCTCGGTTTTGCCAAAATCCTACGAGATCACATCTACGTACCGTATGGTGTAATGCCAGAAAAGGTCCTCTCGGACCGGGGAACTGTCTTTGTTTCCAAGTTCATGAAGGAATTTTATGCTCTTATTCAGGTCGCAGGAAATCCCTCAACGGCGTATCACCCTCAGACGGATGGGCAAACGGAACGAGTTAACCAAGAGATCGAAAAATACCTCAAGATGTTTGTCAACTACCGCCAAGACGATTGGAGCGAGTGGTTACCACTCGCCGCATTCACTCACAACAACCGAAAGCACTCCGCTACAGGTTTTTCCCCTTATAAAGTAGTCTTCGGTCGGGACGGGCAGGTTATCAAAACTGCCCAATGACCAGACGCCATCCCTGCCGCGTCGAAACTGGTCCAAGGGATCCAAGAAGTGCAGGAGAAGGCGAGAGAATCCCTCGAACGAGCGGCCGATTCGATGAAAAGGACTTATGATAAGCACAAAGGACAGGCATTAGAATACCGAGTCGGCGACAAGGTATGGCTGGACTCCACCAACCTAAATCTCCCTCGGCCTACGAAGAAACTAGGAGACAGGCGAGTGGGGCCTTTCACCGTTGCGGCGAAAAAAGGAGCATCAGCTTACGAACTAAAACTTCCCGCAAACTGGCGAATTCACAATCGATTCAATGAATCGTTACTAACTCCTTATCACGCCCCCGCGTTCCCAAACCAATCGCGTCCCGAGAAACCACCTCCAGAGTTGATCGAGGATGAAGAAGAATACGAGATTGAAGAGATTGTGGGAGAGAGAGAGAAGGTCGTTGGCCGTGGACGTACCCGCCGAACCATTACCGAATATTTGGTGAAATGGAAAGGGTACCCAATAGAAGAAAACTCGTGGGTGAAACGTTCAAACATGGCCAATGCCGAGGAACTCATAAATGACTACGAAGCGCGTATCCAAAAGGTGTGGTGGACAGTTAACAGCAAAGGAAAAACAGTCAGTAGAGATGACAAAATCCCTCTGGACAACCCGGTCCAATACCATGACCCAGACACCCCGTGCGTAACCGACGTAATCACCGTTCCCTCATCACAATGCACAGCCCCTGCACACTCAGAAGAACTTAATGCCATCAATGACACATACTCGTTCGACGATCAATTACCAAATCACCCTGATACAGATGACTCAGACGTTGACCACCTACAACAAGTTACTGAGGATTGGGATAAGAATGAAGATGATGACAATGATGATGATACCGATATTTTATCATTCGATTCAGAATCCAGACATTCCTCTTCGAACAGCGACATGGGGGAGTCTAGTGACTCATTCGGGACGAACGAGTCTTAGGGAGGGGGTAATGTTACGATTTATTCATTTCTTTTTCATTTCTTTTCTTTACTAAGCCTGATTACTCACATGCAATCATAACAGATGCATTCTCACAGTACTATTAATAGTCTACCAACGTGTATTTAAGTAAAGCCTCAGCTGGACTAAACCCCAGCTTCGGCTAAGGTTTAAACTACCCAACTCGAACTCCGTTCTTCGTGTCTATGTGCCCGCAATCCGCTTTGACATCACCTTTGACTTACTAGAGTATCTACCACTGAAGTGCGAGTGGTGATCCTAGTTCGATCTAAGTCGATTATTAGTTGGTTGTTAACATTCGGAGGTGTTGGTCTAGTTGTTTTCCTCCTGCAAATAGTACCGACCTCCCACCAGGTCCGGTAGCGGTGGTGGGGACTCGGAGAATTCCCAGGTCTGAGAATCCCGATTCCGAGCTTTCAGTATTGGGGATTTCATAACGTCCTCCTTGGAGTAGTAGTCGGTCAGGGTGTAGGATATTCCAATAGTTTATGGCAAGGTACTGGGTTTCTTGCGATAGTATGCTTCTTTTTGGGGGGCAGATGGTGTAGTGGTTACCTCTGCTTGCTTGATTGTACCTCGCTCCACACAGAAAATATATATTTTCGCACTCGCGAGTTCGAGCCCCCCACCCCCCAGAAAGTAACACTCTAGACACTTTCCAGGTTCTACCACTTCCGATATCTGAATCACGTGAAATGCAGCCTCCCTTTCTAAACATGATCAAGTCACGCACATTACCCCCTCTAAAATCACACGACAAATCTTATCTCTCCTTGCCATTCTGGGCATTGGTTCGAGGCCCTTCCAGTGATCTTTCGAATAAGACAGGGAAACGGAGTCGCGTGCCGCAAGGCTGCCGCCTGGTTGGGACCCAGGTGTAACAAAATGGAGTGGTGATCCAAGCACACCCCGGCCCGGCACATCACCCCCGCATCAATTGATCACACTGTGTTGGTGATCTTGGCCGAGTAAGGCAGGTCTGGGAAAGAGAGACCGGAGAAGGACTGGGATTGATGGAGTTTGGTGGGAAGTAGGACTAGGCCATGAGAAGGGTCTGGTGAAGAAACGACGGTGACAGATAGATTGCGGCCATTTCTCGGCAGAGGTCAGGATTTCCCAAAGTGGGAAAAGGTGGCAGTGCCCGAGTCGCACCAAGTTATCGAGGGCGAGGGATAATTTCGTGCCATAACATAAGTGCACAGCTTGTTAAGCTGACTTAATCAATGACATCATACACACAGTAACACAAGTAGCTAAATTGGACCATACGCATGCGTAACCAATATACTTAGGATTAAATAAAAAATAAAAATGCTTCTTTTTAATCTGGAGCCAGGCTCCGCCTGTTGGTAGGCTTGCCCTTGTGGAGTAGTGGACCAGTAAGTTTCATGGGGTAGTTTGTCATGCATATGCCACCAGAACTGGTCCCAGTTCATTTTATAGAGTTCTTCTTCGGTGGGGTTCCCTACTGGATCCCTGGACGAACTCGTTGCTTTCGTTATTGGGACTACCGAGGAAGGGTTCGTCGTTGGCATATGCTCCCGCACGGGTGAGCTGGTCGATTTGTATCCGGGCTCTAACCCACGGGTCCAATCTGTCGAGATGGTCGGTTGGGTGAAAGACGGGTTCATACCGTAAAAGGTAGGGGTTTCCGTCGATCCATATCTGGTTCCAGTTCCAGACATATGTGAAGTACCTTCGGTATTCTTCAAAGATTTGATCAAAGTCCTCCCTGTCGTAGACCCACCACTGAAGCTCTCTTTGTGATATAAAGGGGGGTTCGACGTAGAAGGTAGGTTTGGGGAGGAGGAACGGTTCGAGCTCTGGGTGAGGTCCAACTTCGTTATATCGGGCTCGGGCCAGGTCCCGTAGTCGTCGACAGATCCGACATCTGCAGTGAGGCCAATCTGTGAGACTTGCTTGATCGAGCTCGTCCTCGACGGGATTTGATACGTTGTTGCAACTGCAGCCTATTTACGTGTGTAATTTTGCAATCTAGAGTGTTTTACATGCATACTGAGAAATAGTGAGCGAGCGGACTAAAACTACGTGTCGACACTAAGGCTACATGGTGCAATGATATGGAATATAACTTATGGCATAAGAAGCAACGGGATTCTAAACAGGACTTAGTCACAGCACTGTACCTGACGGGCATGCGTGATGAGAAGGCCAAACCCTATACCCAATGCCTTAGGCTCTAACTTACAAGCACACTCATGGGAGCTAGATAAAACCTTGAAGATTGCACTGGCACCGAGAACACTTAGCACGCTCGCTAACTGTGACGCGCCATACCTGAAAATCCGGGGAAATCCTTAAGCGAGCTGACAGATATCACCGGCACGAGCTTGGGCAATGGGCTTCGGCCGAAGTCCGCGAGCCCGCATTCCATTGTTCTGAGTCCCATTGTTCGAAGACTCACTTGTTGCCGTGTCTACGAGAAGCCTCTGTGAATCCAAGAAAGAAGGCCTGAACGACATACGCCAGAACTGATAGTTCCGTGCGCCTAGACCTGTCAGTCGCTAGAGAACGAGCCCGCGGGTGTTGGGAGAGCACCTCTTGGCACGCGTTTAGTGAGCTCACTATAGAAATGAGACTAAAACTGGGAAGTCCGACTCGGATGCTCAGTAAGGCGGTGGTGGCAACGTGCTACACATGTAGGAGTCTGGGTACTGCGTGACGTTTGTAATTCTAATTCCCCTGTAGTATAAGTAGACTGGTTACAGTAGGTAGAGGCCAAGTTTCGAGCCCCCGAGTTCCCGTGCACGCATTGAAGGCGGTACTGTAACAAAGGATCAGTTTGTGACTTCGAGCTGTGCATAGAATTAGCGAGCTCACTCAGAGAAATATGAGATACCCTTTTGATAAGACTTTTGAGAACTTAGTCAGAGTGAATACAAATCAGTGACGCTGTTTCTGTTCTGTTAAGTGTGATAAGTCTGTTCGGAGAATGTGTTGAAGTGGAAATCTGAGATCTGTTCTGTTCTGTTCTGTTCTGTTTCAGTCTGTTCCGTGTCAGTTCTGTTCGAAGTTCCGTTTCTGAATCTGTTTTCTGAGCGCTTCTGAAGTGTTCTTGAGTCGAGATAACCTGCTGGAGTTAGTTGGAGAACCCCTACATACAGTTGTGTAGTGAGCGGGCTAAGTCAGTGCTTGCCTGTGGTGTTCCTTTAGCGAGCTCACTAAAGTTTCGGCGTGTATTGCCTCTGTTTCTGTTGGGATCAGTGTCCCTTGTGTATTATAACTCAAATCTGCCTTGAAGGTTGCGTCGCGCCAGTGAACGACCTTCCTGTAAAAAGTTCCTAGACTTAGGAATTCATTAGAGAAAGCTTAGCTTCGCTAAGAGCGCTGAGAATAAGAGAAGCTCTTCGAGATATTGAAGTATAGTTGGATCGCATTAGGAATAATCGCTCCCCCTAGAACTTACGAGGGTGATTGTAGTTTGTGTAGTTGTGTGAGTGTGTGTGTGGGTTTTTGAGGTTTGCCTTTTAGCCTGCTCACTATTCCACAGGTGCCCACAGCCAGCCTCTTCAACGTCGGTGGTTCCTCCGCAGGATTGATTTCCTGTGAACCACCAGAGGACAGTGTCCTCCTCGTTGGTGTCTGTGAATAAGACCCTGCGCTGCCAGGGCGGTGAGTCTGCGTGGGGGTGCTGCTCGAGTAGCTCCTCTGTATCTGTCTGCTCTCCCCATGGGTCTTCTTCGGCGGAGTAGTATGGGGTCTGGGTCCCAGTGGGTTCTGGGATTGAGAGAGGGATAGGGTTTTCCTCCTCGGTGATAGTGTCGAGGGTTCCCCCAATAGATGAGGTGGACTCGACTGGTGAGATTCGTGCAGTTGTGGGCTCCCTGGAGGTATCTGCCCATGTCCTGAGGTCTGCGATAGTGATAATATTTCTGGCTGAGGCGCGACGTTCCTCTTCTGCCCACTGGGTTCGTTCTCTGGGGTCAGGTTGGATTGGAGGGTCTGAAACGTATCGACTTGAGCTAGGGATTGGTGACGTATAACGTCTTGGAGTGTTGATCCCATGGACTCGTCGAGTTCCGTCTGCCAAGTACCAGGATAGCCAGCTGGAGGAGCTGGTCGGGGACCCAGGGCCTTGGATTCTTGGCTCTGGGGAATCCCCCGTCGTATCCCTTGGCTCGCCTTCCATTGTTGGGCTGCTTCTTTCCATGAGGGGTTCTCCCCAGGATCACTGGGTGTGCTCGTCTGTTGATTGGGCCGTTCCGTAGTCTGAACTAGCTGGGCCGCTGCTACTGCTTCCCACATCGTGCCCAGCATTTGGTTGTACCCACTCTCCTTCGATTGATCCTGGTGTTGTACTTGGGAGGCGTACTTCATGGCCTCGGTCGGTGAGGATTCTTCCTCTAGCGACATCAATGTAGATCCTTCGGGCTTCTCATACGTGTAGCTGCTCTCCGGAACCGTCTCCGTCGTTTGAAGAGACGCTGTTTCGTCCGGTGCTTTCTTCCCAAAGGGAAGGCCTATCTTCTTCGCCCCTGCTGCCATTTTGCCCTTCCATGTCTTGCTGTGGGAGGACGCTGTCGTCCTCTGGGACTGAGGGCTGTGGCATGCTTGGGCGGAGTCTGATGGGAGTGAGGTGTCCGATGGAGGATTCATTAGAGTCCGTTACTCGCTGATGTGCTCGGTAACGGCGAGTGACAAAAGGCTAGTGAATGGATATGAACACCACAACACCAAAACCCTCTACTACTCTACACTAATCACCAATATTATTGAGTTCGGGTGTTTCGAGTACGATAGAAGCACTCTGCAGACTTCAACAAATCAGGGAAAGGTTGTTTAAAGACATATATTTGGTACTAGTGAGCTACACAAGATGTAATACTCGTGCTAGCAGGGTTTTAAGACACGATTGGATGAATAGTGACTTGGGTTGAGCAACTGCGCTCGGTCTAACTCTGATACTTCGAAACTAGTGGCACTCTGGGCCAAATACTGGGTCTCACAAGCGGTCTACACTTGACTAGCGGCACCCTAGGCTCGACTAGTGGCACTCTTGGCCTAAGAACAAATACTTTAACTCCGAGAAAATACTTTAACTAACTTCGAAACACTCTGAGTCACTCCAAGACAGAATAGTAACTTTAAGACACTTCAATTCGTTCAATACTATAGGTGACTAAGCGACTAGTAGACACTTCGTCGAGGTTAAGCACAAAAGCCTTTAATTGGGGCACTAGAATACGGACTAGTAGGTCACAATCGCGGGGATGGCTTGCCTGCCTGCAAGGCTGCCCCTTCTACTACTTATATACTACAGAGACAGGTACAGAATAAAATATAAATAGATTCTTTAGGGGTAATATTGGTAAGGATATCTTGGCTAGTCACGAATTATGGTGAATAATCACGCAATAGTCGGCCTAGCCTGTTCTTTCTGTCGGATAGCGGGTCGAGGGACTCCGCTATTGGGTCGTTTCCGCACCCTTTGCCCAGCGGTGCTCCACTAGTGACACGGCTATATGAATAGTCAGGTAACCATGCCTGTAGCAACTGCTCGATTGTGATCGGGGTGCAGCCCGGCTATACTAGTGCTGATCGTATGAGATCTGTATCACACTAGCCGGATCTGGGCTAAGGGTTATGCCTTTACTGGTTCATTTCTAAGTCCTTTTCAGAAGTGCCCGCATGACTAGTCATCCTGACTTAGGCGTTCATGCCCAGATCGGTCCACTAGCGACTGAATAGTCGAGATCTGTGTGGGTTCTTACTTCTTGTTTGGGCACTAGCAGCTGTATTCTTTACTAGTGACCATATTTTACTAAGTCATACTAGCTTTGGAGGTGCTAGTCCGGTCGGCTGGTAGGGCTGACCCACTAGTGGTATCATTCCTAAGTCCTGACTCGACTAGTAGCATGCTAACTTGACTATCAGTCCGAAGTCTCAACTATAGCCCTTGATATACGACTAGTATAGGATAGACCTGCAACAGTATTGTTATAAAATCACAAAATCTAGGTGTGAATGCGTAGACGGCGTATCATCGCTCACTCGGGAGGGTCGGTGCTCTTTGGTGTGTCCGTTCTAGCTCGTAGGCGTAGAGAATGAGTGTGGTTTCAAGGGTAGTCGCGGAGTAGTATGTTTCGTAGTCTTCTGAGTTCATACGGTCAACGTCGTTCGATGAAAGTGCTGGTTACGATTAACAGTATGACCACTGCTATCATGGATAGTTGTAGTAGGAATACATAGAACAACAGTGTGACTTGTTTGTTCGACGGTGAGGGTATGCGAAGCAAGCTTCGGCTAATTGTAACGCACTAACTTTGGATTGTACAATGGTTGCCTCTTAACTGTCACTCGCGTTCGGTGATTCAGTTGTGAAGAGGGTGTTGCAATCGCTAAGTAAGGTACGATAGTCCTTAAGCACGAAACAGGGAGTTTCTGTGTGAAAAGTTAGGAGTGTATAACTTTAGCCGAAGCTGGGGTGTAAGACCACAGCGAGGCTGTCTTAAATACATTGTGATATATATTAAATAGGTACCCATCCCAAAGCATCGCTGTCTTCTAGGCTGGTACACTTGATATGCTAGAAGTCCCTCTGTAAGCAAGAAGACTCGTGTTCATATGGCGCTATCTTCTGGGAGGCATACGTGGCATACTATCGGTCCTAGGATGTGATCAAGGTCAACCTAAAGAAGCGTGACTGGTTGAAGTAGGGTCGGGCCCATAGTCGTGTGATCGGATCTATGGGCCATCAAACGGATCATGCGTGCGAGCGGTAGGCGATGCATGTGATTGATCGGGTCATGAATGAAGCAGGTCAGGTATGAGGAGTGATGACGAGAGTCGAATGACGAGTTGATGAGATAAGATAAGATAAGCAAAAAATAGGGGTGATTCATGACAAACACAATGACAACCACAATGACAATGACAATGGAAAAGCCAGGAGACTTCAAGCACGAGGAGGGTTAGGGAAGGATGTTGAGGGAGACTGGGCAGCATACTGGGGGGGAAGGGGGAGGGCAGGAGGGCAGGATGGAGATCAGGCTGCTGACATCTGTTTGGGTGTCAGATGTCCTCCCCAAGACATGGAGGATCCGATGGTGGTCTCCATTTTCTCTCACAAGCCTGCCATGACGTTCATTAGTGCCATTGATCCCTAAATCACCCCCTAGCTCATCCTTAGCCCATGCTGCCGCCACCTATATGTTGATTTATTTTTGTATTATATAGTATTTTATATATTTATTTGTTTTATAATGCTTTACTTATGAATACTAAATATTTTATTACTGATACCTGTAAATAGGGAGTGCAAGAGTGGCCAACCCGAGGCGAGAATTGGTTGGGCACGTGGTGGGGAGAGACCAAGAAATGGATTGCATGTGAAAATTCATGGCTACATATAACTTTGCTTTCTAGCAGATACATGAATTTGACATGCTTATAGTTATAGGGATTTTTACATAGAATGGACATGAAGGAATGTGGAGAACTACAGACTACATGAGAAAGAGAAGGAAACTTATAGAAGATACGATACTGCCAGAACATTCTTGATGAGTGAGCAGGCCGATTGCCGACAAGGGAGGTACAGATTATAAATATAGATATCCATAACACAGATGTGACAGCAGCAATGCGTGTTCCTCCTCTCGGCTCTTACAAGTCTCCACCCTATACATTCCATCACGATGCTTGTATGATATGTTCAAAATATGGAACAGTGTCCCACCGCTATGTCTGCTCTGCCAAGAACTTTTGCTGATCAATAATGGCTGAAGTTCTCGGCTGGCCCACCACTGCAATGGTGGACTCCGCTGATGTTTCTCATACTGAGTACAAGTGTTACTCACTTGATATACTTATACAGATCTTTGGGACCAACATTCTGGTGTAAGTCTGGATTTTAGCCCTTCTGCTGGAATCCAAACCTGGGGTGACAGATTCAATGCACAATCATCAAGGGGCCTGAATGCTCGGGAGGTTCTGCTTAAAATTAAAGTGGCGCAACTACTTCTCCTGAAGATGATTCCAATTCTTCATAACAAGCTCATGTATGCCTATTTCAAAGTTGCCTCTATTGGCTTGCTGACAAGACAAGGTATAGACTTTTATCGTATTCATGGGATTTTGCAACTGGACCAGTGTAGTTTTAAAGTGTTCTCTTTCAATTGAGAACAAAGCCACCCAAGCATTCTGGCACACATTTGGGTGATGCCAAGCTTCTCCCTGATCGGTATGTTTAACATGCACGTGGAACATTGAATATTTCGGATTTAAGCAGGGTGATACCTATACGTGATACCTGAATGGTTTTCGCATATTTCTCCTGACCGAGTAATTTAGGAGGGTTTAGATTCTCCCTTGACCTCTGGAACAACTGCACAGGTGCTCATCCGGGTCTATTTCTCGAGCTGTGCTTGTGTTCTAATTTTTTAGTCGCCGGAGGTGTTCCTAGCATCTCATAGATGACTAGAAACTCTCCCAGGAACCGACACCCTGATGATACATTTCACCTCCGTGCAAGAACACGAAGTTTGCAGGGAAACATATATGTCTATGAATTATTCTGTTATGATTTCAGCAGAAGTCAGCTCGACTAGTATCAAGATTCATAGTGCCAATTCGGCTCTGATAACCACTTCTCTTGTATTCACCATAAAGGTGTGGATATCATCTCATAGCTCTATACCTTTCTGCATGACTAATGACTGCAATGCTTCTAGCGCAAAACACTCCTAATTAGTCCACACGCAATACAATTACTCCGGATCAACTGGTTTCGTTGTGACCTGCTTGAGGCATTTTAATGAAGACCGTATCGCCTATGAAGTCTATAGAGGTATGACAGCAATAGGTTTCTCATGTCTAGTCACGGATCTCTCAATGTACCAAGCGCTAGTATCACGAACATCGCATTGTGGCATGTTCAATAGATTCCGCGAAAAGCTCTCATCCGAGTCTTGGCACTCGCATGCATTTCAACACAGATATAAAGTGAGTACGGACGTCTGTCTTGCTCTACAAGTCGGCATGGCCTTCTATCTCTTTTCTCTGCTAGCTCTTGCCCTCGTTCTCCCTAGCTCTTGTGGACAATGACCGGGAACTATCGGTCCTGTGGGCGACCTCGTCATCTCCAACGGGGAAGTCAATCCTGATGGCGTTACATGCTATGCCGCATTGGCGAACTCGCAGATAGATGGCACGCTCATCAGAGGAAACAAAGTTGGTCTCTCCTCCACTCTTCCATGATGCCATTTATGAATGTTGTGTTCAGGGTGATAAATTCCGAATCAACGTCATCAACGAACTCAACAACAATATGTATGTAGAGAGCACCTCTATCATACGTTAGTTTTCTGCTACTCAATCTCCACATCTCATGCTTTCCTCCAGCACTGGCATGGCCTTTTCCAGAAGGGCACTGCATGGGCTGACGGGCCCACTTTCGTGAACCAGGTAATATGGAGTGATTGATACCACTGTCCACTGTTAATAATTAAAACAGTGCCCTATTGTGACAGGAGATTCTTTTCTCTACACCTTTGATTCCGCCAACCAAGCTGGAACATTCTGGTACCACTCTCATTTGGGTAGGAATTTTCTTCTCTACTGTACTTGCCCCGGAAGATGATCATGATCGTTCTAGCTACTCAATACTGTGACGGGTTTCGCGGGCCTTTCATCATCTACGACCCCCACGATCCACATGCCCACCTATATGATGTCGATGATGGTATGTATGTTGACGCGCCTTCTTGCTTGTACCATATAATGACTCTGTCACAGACAGTAGTAGCATCTTGACATTGTCGGACTGGTACCATGCGCCTGCAAAAGAATTGGGTTTACTGTAATCATGTTCCTCCGTTATACCATGTGAATATGATAGCTGACAATCAACTCTTAGCACTGCGAATTCTACACTTATCAATGGCCTGGGACGGTATGCTAATTTCACGTTTGGAATCTCGGAGAGGTCATTAATTTGTGACTTAGTTGGAATGAAAGTCCCACGCACGACTTAGCTGTCATGAAAGTCAAGAAGGGAACCCAGTATATATTTTTCTCTGTGTCTTTTAGGGTCCCTCTGATGAGTACAGTGTAGGTATCGCATTCGGATGATTAACCTCGGGTGTGAAGCATCATTCAAATTCTCCATTGATAACCACACGATGTGATTACTCATCTTTTGGTTTCTTTTGGTGGCTCTTTTATTCACCGGTGATGGGCAGGACGATTATTGAAGTCGACGGTGTAAATCATGTTCCGTACACCGTAGATCAAATCGAGATCTTTACCGGTAAGTTCTTTATCGTCGTCCTCTGGAGTTGAAGATGAGCTAAAGCATCTTCCCTTTCCTTCCTCTTTAGGTCAATGATACTCATTTGTCATCAGTCTCTACTTCTTTTTGTAAAAATCCAAGAGATAGTGATATATATCCCAGTTGAATGCGGACCAGGAAATTGATAACTACTGTGCGTCTACCATTTTTCACCATTACAATCGGTTCCTTGACACCGACATCTTAAGGGATCTGTGCCAATCCCAGCGTTGGTCCCCAGGATTTCGACAGTGGTATCAACTCTGCCATCCTTCGATACAATGGTGCCGATAATATAGAACCCGTTACCATCGCCTTACCGAGTGTATCGCCAATGAATGAGTCCTTGCTAGTGGTAAGCCCTTTAATTTTGTGTAAGATTCCCACCGAAACCGACGAACATCTCCTGGAAGCCTCTCGAGAATCCAGGCGCTGTACGTTCCGTATACCTTCACTGACACCCACCCACAGTCTGACCTTCAATAGCCTGGATCTCCCGAAATCGGAGATGTCGACGTTGCGCTTAACCTAGCCTTCAATTTTTTCTGTATGTCTTTTCTCTCCTCCTCCGCATCTCGTCGTCTTTTTTAATTGTAGTCATACAGGAAAGCACCGGAGGCGGAAGGTTCACAATAAACAATGTCTCATTTGCTCCCCCGCCGGTTCCGGTTCTTTCGCAGATTTTAAGCGGTGCACAGGGTCCTCATGACCTGCTTCCCGAGGGCTCTGTTTACTCTCTTCCATTACATTCCACAGTCGAAATTTCTATGCCGAGTGGTGTCAGAAATGAATCAGTGAGCCTCTTAATACTTATGGACTATGTTATCCGATCTCATTGACTCTAGCATCCGTTCCATTTGCACGGCGTACGTTCTCATTCAAATATTGTTAGCTGTTCATTCTCAAGAATTCATTATGACTAGCACACTTTCGATGTCGTCTGAAGCGCGGGTAGTGACATATACAACTACAAGAATCCTGTTAGACGAGATACCGTCAGTACCGGTAATGTGAACGACAATGTTACGATCCGGTTCACGACCGATAATCCTGGACCATGGTTCCTTCATTGGTCGGTTGCCTTCTACTACCTTAGGTTGACAATGAGCTAACATTTCTTGTAGCCATATTGATTGGCACTTGGAGGCGTGCGTGACTATGTCTTACCCTACAGCTGACTTGCTAATGACTTCTCTGATAGTGGATTCGCGGTTGTTTTTGCCGAAGCTGCGAAACAGTGGAACTCCACCATCCACCCTACCCGTATGTCCTGTTCCTCCTCGCGGCAGGGTATTATCCTAACTTTCAAACCAAAGATCAATGGGACCAACTCTGTCCCATATACAACGCAACGCCCGACGAAGATCTTTAGAATCTTCCTGCGGCCAGTTCGAATGTCATGCACGAATTTATTGTTTCTTGACCTTTTTTTGGCTCTCATCTTTAACTATCGCTGTTTCCCCGATTGATATGATTACATGTTCATTATTTATTCTTGGAAATACTTTTGCTTCACTCTATTGTGAAAAGCAAACGAAGTTGCTAAATGGAACGCAAAGAAATTCGGCCGACTCTCACTCCACGGAGCTCTTATGCTGGACCACTTAGCCACTCTGCTACTGCTTCAAGTGGTGGAGTGGGTGAAAAAAAACTCGGTGATGTGCGGCCGATGAGAGGCATCAAATTTGGCGCTAAACGGAGGACGGTCGCTGCTATCAATGATCTGGCGAACAAGATAGAAAAGAGTAGAAAGCATTGGAACTGATGAAGGGTGTGTGCATAAGAGCGGTGGATCGGAAGGAATGGGACACTGGAGAATCAATGAATCTCTGAGAAAACGATGTCTAATCCATCCCAGAGAGCTTGATTTCGTGTAGGTTAGAAAGGATGTGAGGTAGAGCAGAAAAATCTGTCCTGGTGAACATCGTATGGCTGTAATAGCTTCATGCTTACCGGCTACTGCCCTCAGTAATTGCTTCGGGCTTACTGATCTCCTTATTTCGCAAACCGGACCTCTCAGGTCTCCTCACGAACCCTCACCGCAATCCATTCTATTTCCCTAACAACATACATCTTTCTAATCAATCTTACCTCATTTCAATCACCACTCCTTGCCTCGTGCTCACATATCCGGATTTCGGCTCAGGCTCAGGGCTGATCGTTACCAGTGCATGATCCTTCTCATGATATGAGAAAGTCGCATCAGATAGCTACCGGCACGTACAGAGGAAATTTACACATTCGGACTAAGTTTTCGGAAGCCTTGACTCCATAGACTCGATTATCGTTTTGCCATAAACCACAGGCAAGCTAAGGTTTTCATCACACCGTTATTTGCTGCATAAAACATAGCTAGTGGAGGAACCGTATCGCTAGGTCCGATAGAGAGAATGAGGGATAGCTAGTGATAGTCACGGGTCTCCGAGCTATGAACAAGCGGAGAACCATGGAAATGTTGCCTGAATGTGTACGTGATCGTGGAGTCACCGGACCGTCCCAACGTTCCCAGTGGGAGCTTGCCTTGACATACGGTCGGTCAATATCCTTCTCATCTTTTGGCGTAAAAAAAATTGATCTACATTGATATGGCCCTACGGAGTGTTTTACAATGAAATAAACAATGTCATTGATGGGCGCTTACATTCATATCGTCCCTCCTTCCACCACAATGCTCTCCACCTCACAAGTGATTTGGGTTTTGACATAAAGATATGGCGTAAATTTTGTTACAGCAGACGTGACTGTGAATACTGCGCATTCCTTTCACAACATAAGTATCAGACAGAGTCACTAAGAAGATACAAGAACACTCAGATGGGATGAAACAGGCGCATTCGGAGAAGGGTATTACCAATAATGGGTATATAAACATTGTCTTTCCCACCAGAAACTCATGAGCAGCTGTAATTAATTCACTGCAAAAAGTTCTTAATGCCAAGCCATAAATCATCAGTAGAAGGGTAAAGTCCTGTGTATGAAAAGCTTTCCTTACCTGTAACCTTCTAGATCACTAGGCATGCGGCAGAATTCCTCTTTGGATGGAAGTACCTTTGTATGTTCTCGAAGTAGTAAGCTGATCAGCATCGGTTAAATTGCCAGAAATTTATCCATCTTATTGTCCCCCACGGAAGACGGGCAGGGATTTCTTAGATGCCTATTACTAAATGCCGATGAATTTTACTTGTTCAACTTTGATATAGATACAGAGCCCCATCATTCTACTAAATCTCGTTCTGTCAGCGGAGGATATTCGCCGTCCAGAATAATAACTCCCTACTTTATCTCCCTCAAAAGTGATCTTATTTGCATAGAAATATCCAGCTCCTGTTGTCATATTGCAGCAGACATTTGAAAAGCTCCATTGGCGGTGTGATAAACGATTTTGGAGCGCTGATTGATAATGAAGGGTTGAAAGCGAGATTAATTACATAAGTGGCACGTCTCAAGTGATCAGGAAATAGGAGCAAACAATACTGTCTTGCTTCCATATGCGATCATCGCAATGGCGGCTGCGTGCATCCTCTCCTCAGCTCTTACAGTTGCAACCATACCGAGCCCGAGTATTACTCAATTTGCATGCTTAAATGGTTCCCTGGGTCGATGTTTCCGCAATCTGTCCAATTCTAGATTTCAGCCCTTCTCCTCCAACCCAAACCTAAGGCAACGACTTCGACACGGAACCATTGGAGAACTTGAATATTTAGGAACTTCAGCTTTCGCCAAAGTGGTGTACTCACTACTTTTGTGATTTATTTCTCCATAAAAAGCTCACGTATGCTCATTTTGGAGATTCGTCCATTGGCTTGCTAACAGGGCGAAGTGTAGATTTTCTTCATGCCCGTCAGATTCTGCAGCTGTACCAGTATGAAGGGTTCTTCAGCTTCTCATCGGGAATGATGCCACCCGAATTCGCCGCACATATTTATGTGATACTCACACTTCCCCTGATCAGTATGCTCAATGTACAGCATCCACAACATTGAACGTCTCGGACTTCTGTATGGCGATACCTGGGTAGCTTCTCGACGTTTCTTCTAGCAGGACTATCAACCATGCAAGCGCTCATCCAGGGTCTCCATTTCCCGAATCATCTTCTGTATTCTGATACTTGAGTCGTCGGTGCGATAAACACATACTTATGACCGCGAAGACCGTGGGGCAGCGTGTACGTTCATGGATCAATTGTGCGTAATGCCTCATTTACAGTTTTATGATTAAGACTGGCAAAAAGTAGCTTGACCTGCACCAACACTCATGAATCATAATGCTAATTTGGTTCTGATAATGCTCTCTTCCTAGTCACCAACGAACTTGACACGTACTTACGCTCATTTTCACTAAAAAGATAAGCTACTTGAAAGCGCAAGAAGCCAATCTCGATCTCTGGGGAATACTAACGTAAAGGTGTGGACATCATATAACTCTGTACCTTTTGACGTGCCCCAATAACAATGTCTGTAGCACAAACAGCTCGTAATTAATCCATGTGCAATACCATTGCCCTGGGTCACCATGTCTCGTTGTAGCCTGCTTGAGGCAATTTATACGAACCATATTGTCTTCGAGGTCTAGAGAGGTACGACAGCATTATTGTCTGATGTGTTCTAATAAATCTCTAAATGTGCCTCATGCTAGCATCACGAACATCGTGTCCCAGCATATTCAATAAATTCTGTGCCAAGCCCTCATCCGAGTCTCGGTGCCTGTACACATTTCAACACAGATATAAAGTGAGTGCGAATGTCTGTCTTGCTCTCCAAGTTGACATGGCTTCTTCTCTTCTTTCTCTGCTAGCTATTACTCTTCTTTTCATAGCTCTCATGCTCAACGACAGGGAAATATCGGCCCTGTGGGTGACCTCATCGTCTCCAATGGGAACGTCAACCCCGATGGATTTGAACGCCTCACTGCATTGGCCAACTCCCAGATAGACGGCGCCCTCATTAAAGGAAACAAGGTTAACCTTTCAGACACCCGTCCATGATGTCCTTTATGAATGTTCTGTTTAGGGAGACGTATTCCAGATCAATGTTGTCAACCAGCTCGACAACAATACCATTCTACAGAGCACGTCTATTGCATGTTTGTCCTCTGCTATCCAATCTCCGCACCTTACACCCTCACACAGCACCGGCACGGACTCTTCCAGAAAGGAACTGGGTGGGCTGATGGGCCCGCCTTTGTGAACCAGGTAATCTCGAATCAAGCGAAGTACTCGCCATCTTTACTGATCAAACCAGTGCCCTATTGTGAAAGGCGACTCGTTTCTCTATACATTTGATTCTGCCGACCAAGCTGGAACGTTCTGGTACCACTCTCATTTGGGTACGAATTTTCGTTCTTTATTAGACCTGCTTGAGAATATGATCACAATCACTCCAGCTACTCAGTACTGTGACGGGCTTCGCAGGCCTTTCATCATCTACGACCCTAACGATCCACAGGCCGACCTGTATGATGTCGATGATGGTACGTTGGCATGCCTTCTTGATTATATTCTACCATAACTCTGTTGCAGACACCACTAGCATTTTGTTAGCCACTAACTCAAATCGACTTAGATCGTACTAAGGTCGCTACTCGCACTTCGGTAGACGACGCTTTAGCAAGTCAAAGGCGATGCAAGTCGATGGGACAGATAGTCACGAAGAACGGAGTTCGATATTAGGTAGATTAAACCTTAGCCGAAGCTGGGGTTTAGACCAGCTGAGGCTCTACTTAAATACACGTTGCGTAGGCTAAAAATAGTGCCGCAGCAACGTCCGATCGAAATCGCAGCATAGAGTAAGCGTGAATACGTAAGAAAAGAAAAAGAAAAGGAAAAAGAAAAGAATAACCGTAACATTACCCCCTCCTTAAGACTCATTCGTCCCGAATGAGAATATGTCCCCTTCCTTCCACATGAGCGAGTTGTGGGGCTCCCTTCTGCTTTAAAACAGGATCGATTGGACCTCCGCTACGCCATAAAAAGTCACAACGGTGCGTTCGGCCTCTGACCCTCTCTCCCCCTGGACTTAGGTTCCTATTAAATCCTAAGTCACCTTGCGCCGGTTAGGCCACAACTGTCTGTCGGGATCCGCGATTCCTAAGGGTTCAATGCTCGTACTTGAGCGGTGGAAATCCCCTTCTACACCATAAGTTTTTTGATTTAGGACTCCTCCGATGCGAAGGAGTCACTAGATCCGTATTGCGAGGAGGGAGTTTGTGATTCTGAATAGAACGACCATGACTCGTCGTCTTCATCATCGTTGTCGTCATCTTCGTTTTTGTCCCAATTCTCTGTGACCCGTTGTAGGAGATCTACGTCCGAGTTATCATCGATTGGCGTTTCTTCTACTATGGGTACTCCGTCTGCTTCTTCTGCCGTTACTTCTCGCATCTCCATCGAAGACTGTGCGTCAGAATGTCTTGGGTTGGTGCACTCGGAGGAGGAAACTGTTTCCACGTCTGTGACGCATGGGGTGTCCGGATCGTGGTAGGGTGTTTTAGCATCCGGTGGAATCTTGTCGTCCCTCCCGATGGTTCGTCCATACTTGTTTACCTCCCAACTGACTCTCTGGAGGTGTGCTTCGTATTCGTTTACTAGCTCCTCCGCGTTAGCCATGTCCGAACGTTTGACCCAGGAGTTTTCCTCCCTCGGGTAACCCCTCCATTTTACTAGATATTCTGTTATGGTGCGACGGGTTCGTCCGCGTCCAACAACCTTGTCTCGTTGTTCCACGATCTCTTCGATCTTGTATTCTTCCTCATCGTCAACTAGCTCTGGGGGTGGCCGCTCGGGGCGCGGTTGGTTCGGGAATGCGGGATCGACGTAAGGCGTTAGTAGAGATTCGTTGAACCGATTATGAATTTTCCATCGAACGGGCAGTTTGAGTTCATAAGCTGAGGCTCCCTTTTTGGCGAGAATGGTGAAGGGGCCTACACGACGATCCCCGAGTTTTTTGGTGGGTCGTGGGAGATTCAGGTTGGTGGTATCCAGCCATACCTTATCCCCGATCTGATATTCTCTGGCCGCGCCTTGATGTTTGTCGTAAGCCTTCTTCATCGACTCTGCTGCCTTTTCCAATGACGCCTTCATTTCCTTCTGTGCCTTCTCAATCTCTGTTACCAACTTCGTGGCTGCTGGGACTGCCTCGGGTCTCTGGGATGTGGTAATCACCTGCCCATCTCGGCCGAACACTACTTTGTAGGGCGAGTAGCCCGTCGCCGAGTGCTGACGATTGTTGTGGGTGAAGGCTGCTAACGGCAACCATTCACTCCAATCGTTCTGTCGGTCGTTGACGAACATCTTCAGATACTTCTCGATTTCCTGGTTGACCCGCTCTGTTTGGCCGTCGGTCTGTGGGTGATAGGCGGTGGAGGGATTGCCTTTTACGTGAATAAGAGCGTAGAATTCCTTCATAAACTTAGAGACGAATACCGAGCCGCGGTCCGAAATGATCTTTTCGGGCATCACCCCGTAGGGTACGTAGACATGATCTCTCAGGATCTTAGCGAAACCGAGAGAAGTGAGCTCTTCGGTGCATGCTATGGGAATGATCGTTTTGGAGAACCGATCAACGATAACCAGTATGGAGTCGAAGCCCTTGGAGTTTGGTAGTTTGGTGATCATGTCTACCGAGATATGAGTCCACGGGCGATCTGGGACTTCGTTCGGGTGCAAGGGAGCCCTTTTTGGGCGGCGGTCTGCCTTAGTTCGTTGGCAGACGTCGCATCCCTTGACGTAGGCTTCCACGTCTCGTCGCATCTTTGGCCACCAATAGTCTCGGAGGACTAACTCCTTGGTCTTCTCGATCCCAGGGTGTCCAGCCGTGGCATGGTCATGTTTAAGGGCTATGAGTTGTCCTCGCAGGTCACGGTCTGTCGGTACATAGATTCGCCCATCATACCACAAGAGGTCTTGGTTGCGGGAAATGCCTTTCTCGTGGTTGAGTGAATCAGAGACCCCTTTGTCCCAACGACGAGGGTCGTGAGTCGCCACCTTGATTCGTTCATGCAATTCTTCGGCCGTGGGCATGATGAGGGCCCTAAAGTGCTCCGCTTTGAGTACCACCACGTCTTTGTTGTCTTCTTTACCCTGATTATGGTCCGCCCTCCTAGATAGAAGGTCTGCCTTTCGGTTTTGAGCCCCGGGCTTGTGGTGTAAAGAGAACTGGTATTCCGCTAGCTCCGTAACCCACCGAGCTTGTCGTCGATTGAGTTTCTGAGGCTTGCGGAAGTACTGGAGGTTGGAGTGATCCGTCCAAATCTCGAAGTCTTCCCTTGCCCCCATGAGGTATTGTCGCCATTCATCGAGGGCGATCATGATGGCCAAAAGCTCTTTGTCATAAATCTCATAGTTACGTTCCGTAACTGAGAGAGCTTTAGAGAGAAAGGCGACTGGCCGCCATTTCTCGTCTTGCCACTGAGACAGTACCGCCCCTACTGCTCCTTCGCTCGAATCCGCCTCTACTCGGAACTTCCCTTGGTCCAGCGGGATGGCTAGTACCACGTCTTCGCGGAATAATTCTTTGAGCTTGTCAAAGGCTTGTTGCTGGGTTTGCCCCCACTGCCACTCCTGTTTTCCGGTGAGAGAGGTAAGGGGTTTTACGTGTTTACTGTAGTCGCGAATGAACCGTCGATAGAAATTACAAAATCCAAGGAAGGATTGTAACTCTTGCTTTCGGCGGGGCACAGGCCAGTCAAGGAGGCCGGCAATTTTCACCGGGTCCATACGAATCTTCCCTTCGCTGATGATTACCCCCAAGTACTCGGTCTCTTCTACCTCGAACTCGCATTTCTCCGCTTTGAGGAACAGTTTGTTTTCGCGTAGGATTTGCAGCACCTTGCGTACGATTCGTCGGTGTTCCGCCTTCGTCCGGGAGGCGATGAGGATGTCATCTAGATAGACCGACACCTCCCTGGCTGCGATGAGGTCCTTAAAGATGTCGTTCATCATCCACTGGAACGTCGCCGGGGAGTTGGTGAGCCCGAAGAACATTACCAGGGGTTCATAGAGCCCTCGATTAGTCCGGAAAGCGGCTTTCCACTCATCCCCGTGCTTAATCCTCACGTTGTTATAGCCCCAGCGTACGTCCAGCTTAGTGAAGTATTTGGCCTTCTTCAGCCTATCCATTAACTCCCCGATAAGCGGTAGCGGGTAACGGTTTTTAATCGTCATCTCGTTTAGCTTACGGTAGTCTTGAACGGGGCGTAGCTTGCCATCCTTCTTCTTGACGAAGAAAAAAGGGGAGGCCATGGGCGACTTGGATGGTTGGATTCGACCCGTAGACAGGTTCTCGTCCAGGAACCTGTCTAGTTCCTCCTGCTCTGACTGATTGAGAGGATAGACCTTACAGTCTAGATTAGCGTTGGCGTTAGGGATTAGTTCGATGGCGTGATCCCAAGGTTTCCGCGGGGGTAATTCGTCAAAGTTTTCTTTATCGAAGATATCTTTGAACTCCCGGTACTCCTCAGGTACAATCTCTTCAAACGATTTGGTAGTCTTTTTGGCGTTAGCCTGGGCGGCCAACTCATTGGCTCTGGTCCCCATGGCCCGTATTTGAAACGCCTCCTCAAAGTCTATTACCAGAATGGTGTCTCCCTCCTCGTATTCTTCCCATCGTGCCGAGGGATCGGTATCGGGGAGGGAAAAGGGGATTTTCCTACACGTGCAACGGGCCAATGTGACCGCCCCGGTGTCCCAATCAATGAGCGGATTATGGCGTTGTAGCCAGTCATGTCCGAGGAACAAGGGGGTGGAGCCTAGATCCACTACGGCTAGTTCGATCCGCTCCACGTGGTCTCCTATTCGTAGCCGTACTTCGGCATACTCGGTGATGTCCCCTCCTTTGTTTCGGGTGCCGTCGGCATTGTAGACCGGAACCGGTCGGGCCGCTTTCTTCAAATTGATTTCGTGGGTCTGAGCCCAGGCGCGGTCGATCGAACTTCCCGTGGCCCCGCTATCGACTAGGGCGGACACGGTGTGGGTTTCTCGGGTATCGAGCGTTTCTAACTGTACGTTTATTGAGACATTCCGCCCCTTCCTCCCTCGTATGTACATGGGTGGTTTCTGTAGATCCACCATCCACTGCCATCGCTCCCTGGCCTGTGTCGCCGTTTCGGTTTGCTCCTCCAGTTGGTGACACAGCTGATCGGTCACCTCCTCCCCTCGTCGAGGGTGTACCCACCCGTTGAGGACTGCGCGAGCCGCCGCGTCTCCTCGCGCAATGCGAAGGGCTCGGCGGGTCCACAGGACTCCGTGGGGTTCGTAATACATCGCCGCGAATACCTTCTGGTCGTTGGCGTTCGCGGTGAGAGACATGGCGGGAGACGAGGGCCTCTTAGGGGCTACGACGGGTATATCGGACCGTAGGTGAGCTTCTTCGTCTTCTACTTCCTCCACGGATACCTGGGGTCTTGTACTCGTGCGCGGCAGTTGGTCGCCGGGCCGGTCGGTAAGGCCCCTCGGTGGCATTTGGTCACCTTCCGACGAGTCGGTAGAGGAGGGCGCTCT